TCTTTCCCTCAAAAGGCTTAGATTTAGACAAGAAACTACTCTTCTGTAACAGTCTTGCTGTATTTCTGACTCAATCCAAATGGTGGCTGAAACTGCAAAGTCTTCTATCCCTAATAGGAATGCTAAAGCTCTAAGTCTGGTCCCAATGCCTCAAATTTTCATCCACATTTTCATAAATATGGGGATAAGAAGAGAGGGAGTGGGCTGAACAAGCAAAAAGGAGAGGGGCAGATATTTGCTCTAGTTTATCTCTGTTGCAAATCTTGATAACATTCATCTAAATGTCATGATCACTCAAGTCCAGTTAGTTACCAGATAGGTTTGCTTTCATTTTGCTCTGAAAATTCACATTACTTTATTAATTATGGTAACAAGGGTTTTAAAAATATTAAATATTTTAGTGAAGCTTTTGAAGATTCATCTAATATCTGTTAACCCAAAGAAGAAAGCACACAAGAGAAATGAAAATTTCCAGATAATGTGGAAATAGATTTAAAAAAAAAGAGATGTGGAACCCCATAATGCCCCCACACTTGAATACACAGAAGTAGAATCAATTTTTCTTTCCCTGGAGTTTTTTTCTGAGCATGTGAAATATATACTGCAGCCCCCAAAAGTAATATATTAATACTGAGCAACTAATATATTAATAATGGTTCACCCTGAAATCAGGATGAACTTTCCTACCATCCCCCTCTTGGATAAAGAATCTTGTTCATGGAGTCATAGTCTCTCAAATGGAAAGGATTTCTTCAATTGCTTACACATTGCATTCCTGTTTTCTGGCACTTTCACGATTTCAGTGTAAACTAATGGGAGTGGGGATGCCCTTTTGTAGACTCTCAGTATTTATCAGAGGTATCTGCTTTTCTGAAATGACTGAAATGCCAATATTAAGTTCCTGAGCTAGAGAATGATTTCTTCTTTGTACTGTTGGGATTCAGTCCTAGCATTTTTGGAGATACTTTGTAATTCTGTGTTCAGTTAAATGAAACAGCATTGTATAAAAAGATCCTGGGTTTTCAAGATTAGGGACAGAAATTATACATTAACACAGTAACACAACAGAAGTTCAACGCATATAAACAACTTTCAAAATGGCCAAAACCATTACCAAAACCAGTTTAAGATAAACCTGGATGGATGTAGTATCAGACTTAACTGGTTTAAGATAAAACCATTTATTGAAATTCTGTCCAGATCCCCTCGAGATTCAAGTTAACTCACAGTCCCTCAGCATCCCAGGATGCTTTGCAACTCCCCCACAAGTTCCCCTTCACAGGATGGGTCCGCTAGCCTTGGCCCAAGCCATCTGCTCCAGCAGAGCAGTGAGGCATGCTCTGGCACCCCCTTGCTTCTGGCCTGGGCCACTGCAGGCATGTGGCTACATTTCTGGAATCAAAAGTGGATGTCTTTTCATTTGCTTATTGGTTCAATCTATACAGTTTAGATTAACCTGGGAAGATTGAATACATTCAGACTTTGGGGTTTTTGACTATATGCACTTAGGCCAAAAGAACACAATTAGCTAGACAAGGACTTTAAAAAAATACTATAGGCTTGTCAAACAGCTGTACTTTTTGGATGCAACTTTTATATAGTAAAATCACACTTGGTCCTTGAGGAGGTCCAAGTCACTGTGGAACATGCTCTTGTACTTTGTAACGGTATACAATGGAGAACACTTCTGAGAGCATTATATATTGAAAAGGGACTAAGCTATAGGGGTCACAAACATTTTCCTCCTCATCTCTTTTAGTTTTTTTGTGGATACAAAGGGCTGGGTTGTTTACGTGGTTAGTTTGTTTTGGATTTTTGTGTTATATTTTGTTTGTTTAATATTACTGGAAGTTAAAATAAAACACTAATATGAATGTCAGATGAATTCATATACATCTCAGGTTGTAAAACCTGTTTTCAATAAATGTATTACTATTAAATTATAAGGATACATTTTGTCTAATATATTCAGAGTCAAAAACTTACTGTAAGAATAAGGAAAAAACATCAGAACTGAAAAACCTGATGGTGGTTTTGGAAATTTTGTAATTCTTTTGAAAAAATTGCCAGATTACTATTATAATACAAGACCCTAAGGCTACGTACAGACCTTCAAAAAGCCCAAGGCAGAATCAATCTAAGTTACGTGGTTTTCTGTAAGTGGCATCATTTAGATCAGTAGGGAACAGAATACACATTCACCCTTATGAGGTGGGGAGAGTAAATCTTAGACTGGGCTCCACAATTTTTAAACCACTCTGTGTGCGCCAAACTTCTCTTCTGTTATGGATATGGATTAGTTTTGTGTGCTGAACTTTTGTTCTGTTATGGGTAGAGTGGTTTCTGATTCCTTTTACTGGTAAAAGTGCAATGCCTATACTTGGCCTAAACTGAATTTAAGATGACAGGCATAAATACACATCTATTTCTGTCCCAGAGTAATTTAATTCTTTTGTCTTTGCTTTGGGTAATTATTTATTACCAATTCTTAGTTCACCATTATATAGGATTATGTTGAGTTCATGGAGGGCTCCATGTGCATGAGTTGGTATTTTCTTATTTCCCTTCTAAATAGCTTTTACAGAACTCTTTTGTTCAGAGTCTTCCATGTGTCTCTTCAGAGTAGGAACACAAAAGCTGATCATGATCAAGATTCTGATCTAAAATTGTGTGTTACCAGTTGAGTGATCCAGGCCCATAAATTCAGTTATAGTACCTGCTAACATTTTGTATCAGGGTGAAAGAAAATAAGGAGGAAAATATTTTCCCCATTTTCAAGTATCCTAAATTGTGCCCTAAAATATAGTGCCTACAGTATTAGAACCTATCAAAGCAGCAGCATATAGCAAAAATAAAACCAGAATCAGAATTTCAATTAATAGCAGGATTATCGGGTGCAAAAAGATTCCATTGTGAAACTTATCTTTGTACACATCCTGACAGTGTTTTGCTTTACATAATTTTAGAACATGCATCTTGCAGAATATGTATGAATGAAGGTTGCAGAAAAATTGCAAATGTACTTAAAGTGTTGTAGGCACTTTCCACATTCTGTTCTTTATCGGTACTTGCCCCTCCCTGGACATGAGACGTTTACTGCAGTTGCCTAATTAGCTCCATGGTAAATGTTTTGTATCTGTATGTGCAGTGCTATTAGGGCAGAGGAAACTAATTAACTCCACAGCCAGTTAGGACATATAAATACAAGTACTGCCCCACTGTGGAGTTTTTTACTCCACAGAAATGCATGTAGATGCTGGTAGGGCTGGCTGGGGCACAAAGGTGTTTCATTGCAGGCTAGCCCTGCATATGAGCACTCTCATGCCCCAGCCATCCCCCTCCACAGCACATTGAGCTGGTCAGAGCAACCCCAGGCTGCAGGGTCAAATTAACACATAGGCAAACTAGGTACAAGCCTAGGGCCCCAAGTGAAGAAGGGGCCCAGTCGTGCTTATTTTTACACATTAAAATCGTTAAGTGAAAAAAATAGGGGTCCATGAGTTTGTTTGCTTAAGGACCATTAAAGGGTTACTCCGGCCCTGCCAGGCTAGCAGGCTGACCCCACCAGGCCCCTTGTTAGCTGGGGCTGCTCCAAGCTGGCTCAAC